TGCTACGACGACTACTGCTGCTGCTGCTATTACTACTACTACTACTACTACTACTACTACTACTACTACGACTACTACTACTAAGACTACTACTACTACTACTACTACTACTACTACTACTACTAACTTCTACTACTACTACTACTACTACTACTACTACTGCTACTGCTACTGCTACTGCTACTGCTACTGCTACTGCTACTGCTACTGCTACAGCTACTACGACTACTACGACTACTACGACTACTACGACTACTACTACTACTACTACTACTACTACTACTTCTGCTTCCACTTCTACTGCCACTGCTACTGCTACGTACTGCTACTGCTGCTACCACTACTACGACGACGATTATGACTACTCCAACTACAAACATGTCGCGCGAAAGTGAGGGCGAGCGAAATGAAAGCAACCTGCGAAGAAGTCCATTTCTGGAAGGAGGAATATTGACCAACGCTCGTAGTTCTTGCATTGTGGGGCCAGCTTTGGGACGGTGGTTCAGCACAGTCTTTGGTTTCATGACAATGCATGCGAACTTAATTTCGCTGTCAAACTTGATTGGATAACCGCTTGCCTACCAGTTCGCAGCACAGCATACAATGAGCTCACTTACCGGCATCAGCTCGTATTTGCCATACACTTCTGCCCCCACTCCGCCGGCTTTCGTTCGCTTTGCTCTCAAGTGTGACTTCGGTCCTCCACGTGCCAGACAGCCTGCCCTCCAAAGCCCTCGCCACAAAAGACCAAACTCTGCACATCTCGACTTTTCATCAGGAGGCTGGCCACAGACAGTGTCTTTGTCGATAATAACACTTCTGTGCACTCGTAGTCGGATTCCCGAACCTCCTGTTTGATTCGGTCGCATCCGATTTGTGGAAGAGCTGGTTGTTTGCATGTTCCGGTTATGCTCGCTTCCTGTACACGGCTGGTTTTCGGTCAACACTAATACGCCAGAGGGCGCCACACAGCTGGACTTGTGGCGAAGACGGCGTGGTGCGTGCTTGGCGATGCTTGCAGGCTCTGAAATCTTTCCCGCTGCCGCGGCCCAACTCTCAGAAGTCTTTCGAGCTCCATGCCTAAAGATTGCCTGCAGCCCACGGATAGAAGACGATGGACCCAAGAGGCCGCATGCAAGTGTCATACCGCCCCGGACAGGTCGTGGAATCTGCTGAAAGCAATGCAGTTTCTGCAAGATCAACAAGTCCTGCACAGCCGCCAAGGCCATGCGACAGGTGGCATAGTGACTCAGGTGACTAAGGGCCATCAAGTCCCGTGGAATTCACGGCTTGCGTTCTTGCTTTATGCAGGTGCCGACGCTGCGAGGATGGTTGTTCAGCCCCAAGACATAAGTTTGCGCTGCAACAAGCACCAGGTCATGAGGTGCCAAGCATCGCTGTGCTGCCTTGGTTTCTCGACTCCTTGTCGATGTTTGACCCGGAACTTCCTAGGACCACCAAGCCCTCGTTGTGGAACCGCTGCAGAAGGCGAAGTGCTTGCCACATCATCCTCAAAGACCCTCTCTGTCTCAGACATGCGAACAAGCAAGCATGCAGTGTACACTTTAACCAACTTTGTCAGATATTGCCGCCATACATTCACAGGTTTCGCAGGGCTTGTGAATGCTGTCGTCCATTACACATGGGCAGGCGATCGCGCCTATACTTTGACCGCAGTGAACTAGGTATTGTATTAGCATTGCTGGTGGCAGCGTAAACGTCTGGCTGCAGGTTTACATAAAGACGAGCAATACAGTCCTTGAAGGAGTTTGTGGTGATTGAGTTTTCCATCCTCGGATATTCCAGGAATTCCCAATTTGAGATTCGAAAGGGCATGTCCATGGACATGTCCTGCCCAGAATGCGGCATCCAACAAGACGGTCACGGATGAGCCTCCGTCAAGATTGGTTGGAGTACGTGGGACCCAGTAGGAGCACCAGGGCCTCGTCATGCCTCGTCACAGGGATTGTTGTCTCTTCTGCGTGGTATTGCATGTGGCGTCTGTGCTTGGCGCACAGGTTCCGTTGGACAACTGGTTCTTGGGATATGAGCCCGGACCTTCGTTGTTGAAGTCTCACTGAAGCTATCGCGACTCGATTCAGCTTGTGCAGGAAAGCAATAGCTTTGTCCTCTTCAGTAATTATGCGTCTTCGGTGACCGAGGCTTGTCCTGGAGAGCCACAACCTGAGCAACAGTCCGAGCTCCGTTAGCTCTGCTTTTCAGTCCTATGCGAAGAGCGGTTCTAGTAATGATAACACCAGCATTCCGTAACTTGATCGGTATTACTTATGTATACAAATGGTCTCGGTTTTCTGCACATGCTGCATGGAGGCACATCATCTCCATCAGTGGACGATGCTACAGAGGCACCTTGGATGCTTGGATCATCCTGCAGTTGGGTTAGGACCGTTAGGACTTCTGGATCCAGAAGAGCATCCGGGTTTCAAACAAGCGGTGTTCGGACGGACCTCGTGCGAGGCGATGTTCTATCGAGTGTTCTTAGCATGTGGCCTGGCTTTCGGCTTCAGTGATGGTGATTAATGATGATAATGCATATCAGTGTTGATCTCAGGGGAACCGACGCAAAACTAAACAACGTCTCGTTGATGCTGTGAGCCTATGACCCTGTCGCGGATTCGCAGAAGCATATCGGCACAGTTGACGCCAATCTGCCAGGTGGCTGGTACCATGAGCCCAACAGCCAGGCATGTTAGAGAGACAGGGGCTTTGGGTTACCAAACCTTTGCTGCAGCTAGGCTTGTTTACTGGCAGATCAGGCATACTCCGAGCGGTGAAGACGTTGCGTGGACCTCACACCGAACGGACAGCCTCGGGTCTCGGTTTTCCACGCCTTCTACGACTGGCTTGGCTAGCTTGCGTAATCATGCACTTTGCAACGCTGCATTCAATGACAGAACTAGCGCAAGCTCCACCTGTTTCAATGAACACAGCACGGAGTGGCAGTCGAGTTTCAGGGTTCAACAGACTGTGACGTCAGCCACTCCCCTACTCGCATGCCAGGGGGACGCCAGGTTTTAGCATTCTTATGCCACCAACATGTATCCTGAGTGTGTTGGCGAGCGCTCTCGTTCGACCGAACTTGGCTCGCCCAAGGCCTTGGGCAACGGCAAGAGAAGACGAAGGACCTTACCCGTTGGTGAGCTGCCACGCACTCAATGTGTTGTTCTAGACTTTCGCACGGATCGATGGTGCAGCAGATTTAGCCGTGCGATACGTTGCAAACGGTATATGACCTGTCGTGTGCGCAGCCGCCTTTCAAACACAGAATCATCAAGGACGGATGCCGTCGCAAGGGAGATGCGCCCTGTCTTATTTGCACGCAGGTGTGCAGTGGACTTGTTGTGTACGTTGGTTTTGCATGCCTTTTCTGCATGTTTGATGCCTGCCGCTGTTTGTGACAGACTTTGAAGATAAATACTGTGTTGTCTCACCCGGCAAAGCTGCAAACAGCTGTAGTAGTAGCAGCTCTGTGCAGTCGATAAGCATACTGCTTGTTTCAAGTCCAGCTGTGGTACACTGTACATCTGATGACCCTCCAGTGGGCAGAACTCTGCCCGTAAGTCCGACTCAGTGTGTGCTCGTGAAGAGGTTGACTATTTAAGTAGGAGCAATAAGAGTAGCAGCACGAGCAGCAAGTAAAGAAAGTAGGTAATTAAGCCAGTTAAAGAAGAAGCAGCAGTAGGAGTCTGAGAGCAAGCTCTACCATCTCTTGATCCTGTCTGGTAAGGCGACTACTATATATGTGAGTGTGCCGTGCAGCATACAAGCTTACAAGCCGCAGGAGTCCGATGTCAGGAAGTGTGCTGCGGGCAACGTCGCTTGCACATTTTCAAGACAGGTACTCGGACATGAGTCGGAGACGTCCTGATGGCCCGGCAACCTGGTTCGACATGCTCTCGGAAGGAGTGCTTTAATTGGCCTTCCTATTAGTTTCATGAAGTTCTCTCGCAAACAGTGCGCATGTAACCGTAACCAGCATGTGCGAGAGTCGTGATGTGACAGGCTCCGAAGGCGAAGTGCCTAGCATCGAAAAGATGATAGACCAGTGTGGTCGCAGTCTCAGCTGTCGCGGAGGGCAAGATCACTAACAGTAAGCGCGACCTGGGTTTGTGGGCCAAACGAGGAGGCAATTTCGCCACGTTTGCTAAGGCGGCAGCGCCACGGTTAGCAACGCCATTGAACTGCGCGGTCCTTGGTCCCAAGGGTGGAGTGAACACACGCCAAGACGACGCTCTGAACTTTGCTTTGCCTTCAAGCAAAAGCTGGGAAGTCCTGGCATACCGGTCCCCGTGGGATCAAGATTTGTCGGTCAGCTGAGGCTCCGATTGATCCATAGAAATGCTCAAAGCGTGTGCCTCAACTCTTCTTGTTTCCACTGTTGAACCTAAAGACAGGGGGACAAGCTGATGTCATCGGCTGCACTGAATCTTGCGAACAATGACAACTGCTCTCACCTGGCATGCTTGAGGCCTAGGCCCAGAGATGGGAAGTTGGGTTTCGTCCAAGCTGGACAGGAAACTAAGGCTGGTTGCACCTGCAAGCAACACCAGCACATGTGCACCGTTCAGCACATGGCGCGCAGGTATCAGCTAGAAGACCCGTCATGGCCTGAGAGATTCCGGGACCCCGCAAGCTTCCAGGAAGCCCTGCTGCTGAGCGACCAAGAATCCATAGATGGCACACAATGAAAACAGAACATCTCAAAATATGTAATCTTACGACCGTGCGCGAGGCTGAGCGTCATCAGTGGTACGTTGCCAGTGTGGGCGGTAACACTGCCACGTATGTGCCCATTCCTTTTCAGCAGAGCGCCCAGATGCGATGAAACTCAGAAAGAAGTGGAGTGCTTGGAGCACATCACAGCGCCAAGCAATGCCAAGCTCCAAGCCGAGGCCTGAAGACTCGGAAGATGCTCCTGAAGTACACTGCATTTGGACCATCCTTCGCTGTGCATTGGACGCAGGAGACGGTGCAAGGTGCTTGCAAGGTGAGTCTTGCCTGTACAATGAGAGTATGTGGCAGGAGAGCAAAGTCGGATCTTTCTTGAAGCGGCGCGCAACGGTGCAGACAGAGCTGAATGCCGGGAGCCCTTTGATGCGGCGGCCGTGTGGCACAGCCATTGTCGAGTTGATGTTCCCGAGGCACAGACCGATCCAAGGAAGATGCAGGAGTTATCCCAGGAGCTGCTGCTCGGCATCGTTACAGATCCTCATGTCTGAAGCAGCACAAGTCCTGGCAGCATGTCGGCAATCTGGACAGTGAACAGATCGCGCAGTTGAGCCGAGTACCTGCACCTGAAAAAATGTCAAACGGTCGAAGAACTTTCATGCCACTGTCTGCGCCTGTTCGTGAATCGTGCCGAATAGCCGGCCAGGTCCAACATCGAGGAGCATGTCGTGAGGCGTGTCCTTCCATTCCGAAGCTGAAAAAGGACGTGCATCTTTAGAATTTTTACAGTCCCTTCGCCAGGTCAAACTTCTGGCTCGGAACTTTGCAGAGCACGCTGGTGAGCTGCCTACATCCCTCCACAACCTTGTACAACGGCATTTGTCAGAAACAGCCCTGCTCAGGTCCGTCTGCAGAAGGGTGAAGAATTCCTCCGGCAGTCCGATGTTGCAATGGGCTTTCTTGCCAATGTGACCCGACTATATAATATTTCGAGATCACAATAAGCTCAGCCGTGCATTCACACCCTGCCGGACAGGCCAGCAAGCTGTTGGAGGTTCAGTTCGAAGGTGAGACAGGTTTCGGAGTGGCCGTGACGCAGTCATTCTATGCGGCATGGCCGCAAGCAGCCAGTTGATGTCCGAGTCGGTCGAATGCAAAAGAATGATGTTCACTACACTGGCAGCTTGCACTGGGTGGGGAAACGCAGCCTTTCTCGTGAATTGTGCACGTGCGTGTACTTTGTGCAATAATGTGTCCGTCTTATGTTGGATGCCCAGTGAATGATTACCGCCTTTGCCGTAGTCTGGTGGCATAACGCTGACAGGTGGAGGTTGCGCAGGCTCTACAAGAGCGCGCCAGCAATGCCTCTGTTCCCTTGTGGGATTGGCGCTCAACAGTACTCTCTGTTCAAGCATGGGTTCCATTTACATGTCCGCTGTCGTACGACATGCAAGGTTGAAGACGATGACTCAAGCGGGAGCCAGCAGCACTTGCCACGTGCCGAAACCCGTTTCTCTCTAGGTATCAATGCCAGTTTTTCGGCGGCTGCGAGCATCATAAGCTTGCCGAGGTTGTGCCGCAAAGGCTTGCTGCTGAAGCCCCTCACCTCAGGGCCAGTCGCCGAGACATCCACTATGTAGTTATAGTCGTCAAGCAGTCAGATCGGCATGAACTTCACGTTGCCAGCAATACCTTGCAGCTTCCCGGCGATTTCCGAGGCCTCAAAGGGATGCGGCAGTTGAGCGCTTCCGATTCTTAGGCCGACTGCTTCGGCCTGAGATTGTGTCGTGTCGCCGCCTTCGGGACAACGAAAGTGCAAACTGCTCGAGCTAGCCAGTCGAATCAAAACCTTCCAATGTTGTTGTTTTTCCCGCTCCTGAGTGGTGGGACAATCAATCCCGCGCTTGAATCGAAGCACAAGCAGCTGTGCCAAACAAGCCTGATGCCGTAAGCGAAGACGGAAATTAAACTACTTATGTTGGCCAACATGGGGCGAGCCTTCTCGTTCTGAGTCTTGCTGGGCGTCAAACACTCACGCACTGTGGGCGGCCGCCCGCACTGTGGGCGGCTGCTGGGCTGTTGAACAAGGCATGGGGTGTGCACAAGACGCAGATCCACGCTGACTGACTGGACAGTAGCCAGTAGCCGATTCAAAACACAATTTCTGCAGATTTGCGGCCCCGCGGATTAGCGTCAACCACTTTGCAATGATGTTGAGCAGGCATATGCAGGCATCAGATCATCAGGCTGCCATTTCAATAACATTTGCCGTGCACACGTGCCGCACTTCTCGTTTCCAGGAAAGACCACGCAAAATCAATGCAACAACGAATTTAGACAGTCACTGGATGCGGAATGCTTTCTCAGGATGGGGCAGGCATTGCCGCAAGCTCAGCCGACAGCACGGATTACCAACCCCAACAGTCAACAACCATTCTCATCTCTTTATGGAAATGTGTAATCTGTGGAAAGTGTCGTACGTTGCTTGCGCTTGAGGCGTGAGGGCTTCATTGTGCCCCTGCCACTTGCGGACGAGTTTTTCTCATTGGTCCTTGGAGAGAAGTCCGCCACCAAGCGTTGTGCATTGAAATGGGCACTGCATTCAAGATGTCGTTCTTTGTAAAGGTGAGACAGGAAAGGCTATCTCGTGTGCTTGACTCTTTTTCTGGCATTGGGAGGAAGGAATACGAAGGAATGAAGGAGACAGCAAGGAAGCAAGGCAGAGAGGAGCTTTTTGCAGAAGCTGCGCCGGCAAGCCCTAAGTGTAGCCCTACCATGGGAGAGGGAGGGGGAGGGGCAATATTTTTGGTTGCATCCTCCCCCCCCTTGCCCGCGGGCCCAGACCCTTCTTTGGATTTCCAGTTCCGAGGCCCTCAGTCCCTGTAGCCCAGGGGTCCACAAGAGGAACGCCAGCCTCATGGCACACAAGATCGAGCTTGCAGAAACATGCTTACACGTGCTAGTGATGTTCTGAAACTGCTATGATGTTCCGAAATATGATTGTCATGTTGAGAACAAAAATACAGGCCCCCCCATGACGTGGTCTTCTGTTTCTTGTTGACTGCTGGAGCCAGTTTTCGCTTGAAAGTTGGAAGAGCCCCACCCTTTATTATTGAACGTATGCTGTTTCCAAAGACATAGTCAGGAACTGAGCTGTAAACGGAGCTTTCTTCTTTCTCGTGTAATTGGAGGGGCTTGTCTGTCTTTTTCGAGATGGAGCTCTCTTCTTGCTCATTACACTGGAGGAAGCTCTCAGTCGCTTCTTGTCGAGGATGAGGCAAAAGACTAGTTTTTGGAAGCTCGGGCTACGGGATCTCTCCTCTCTTGCTAGGAGCGAGGCCGCTTCAATCTTCTTAAGATGAAAATGCCACTTGCCAAGAGGTAAAGGAGCTCCCTGATAGAAACAGGTTTTCTTCTTTTATCTCGAATAACTGGGGGGGACTCTGTTCTTGTTTTGGGGCATGAGGTGGGGGACTTACCTTTCCTGCTGAAAGCTGAGGAGAGGATCAGATTTCTCGTTTTGAAGGTTGGAGTGAGCTCCACCCTTTTTTTTCTTTTCTTAACTTGGCGGGGGCTGTTTTCTTGTTTCAGAGGATAAGGTACAGGGCTGCTCATTTCTTCTTGTTGAAGGCTAGGGGAGGACCGGACTCATTTTTTGAAGGTTGAGGGAGGTCTGTCCTCACTTCTTGGGAGTTATCTCTCTTTTATCTCTTGAAGAGGAAGAGGGGACGGGCAACAAGGAGTTCTTCTCTCTCTTATTGTCGACTTCTTTCTCGTGAAGTTGGAAGGGGCTCTCTGCTTCTTGGAGATGCTGCAGTAGGGGACCTGCGAGGGGAATTCTTCCTTTACCCATATATAGGGTAAAGACGCTCATTTCTTGCCGATGACGAGGTAGAGGAGCTCTCTTCTCTCTCGTTCGTCTGTTTGGAATAAGCGAGCCGACGAGTTGTCGTGTATACACCTCGCATTACAAGCAACGAAACGGACTATAAGAATCACAGGTTACCATACAGCTCCTAACATAATTGTGCGCCCAATGGTCTGCGTGCTGAACACTCAAGGATGATAACACAGATGGTAAAAGATGATAAACATGGTAAAAAGAGATGACAAGGATGATAAAGATGATACACATGATAAAAATGATGGTAGTTAGTTATTTTAAAGCACGATAAATATGATAAACCGGATGATGAGGACTATAAAAAGTATCATAAAATCACAAAGAGGATTGAAAAAAGATAATGGGAAATAAAAAAGAAGTAAAGGATAACCAATATTGGGGATGATAACGGTGGGGTGGGGTGGGGTGAGCCGGTACACCCCTTCA